GGTTAAATCACACCCCAGTGGCCCACATACATCTTCTTCCCAGTCTCTAGTGCATGATGCAGAGAAAGCGCCTACACAGAACGATGCCTTTGCTTGTCCACCAAACCAAATCGCAGAACTACCTGTAGTCGCTCAGCTGCCTCAAGACAGCCCCTCCAAAAGCGGAAAGTGGTGCAAGTCTTAGCCTGAACTGTGTCCTGAGATCTGGTACCCTTGTAAACTCCCGGCTCCTTCCCCCCCTCCCTGAAGGCTACCTGGGACACCTGCAGATCCTGTGAGGAGAGGTGGGGCTGCCAGGAACTGGTTCTTGTTTAAATATAAACCCATCTGATAACCTGCAAACAGCTCACTTCGAAGATAAACAAATATAAGATTTGGACTCCATCAGCTCCACCCCTGGGTTCCTCCCTTCCTACCTGGCAGCTAAAGGACCAGATGTGGGGGAGGAGAGAAGTCCTAAGCAAGTCAGGAAACGGTCACTGAGGAATGCCTCCGGTTCCACTACTTGGGAGCTATGATTTGAGTCTCCTTTGCAAGCTCATCAAGGTCAAGCATCTCCACACCATCTCTTTTTTTTTTCTTTAATTTATTATTTGTTTACTTGCTTATTGGTGCTAGGGAATTGAATTCTGAGCCTCAAGGAAACAGGAAGTTAAAAAGCATGCCCAATGTCACACATTATTAATCTTGTAACCCTTCTACAGCCCCAGAAATGCCACAGAAATGCCAGTGCAAATAGTACCGAGCAATACTAGCTTGGCTCTATAGATTCAGACCAGTTGAAGCCTCAGTGTTTCTTATGGGGTGGGGGTTGTGTGTGCAGGGCTGTACCAGTGTTGGACCTGCTCTCTACCTCTTTCTGGGGTCAAAGTGTGAATGTTCAAAGGCTGTGGACACTGATGCTGACTCCCAAAGGACAAGATAAAACAAACAGAACAAAACAAACAAGACCCCTCAAACCTTCACACCCATTTCAACATTCCTACCACAGGGCTTTGCATCTTATTAGCCAAGAGACTGATGGGAAGTGGGTGACTCAGGCAGAGGCTGTAGTAACTGACACACAGTGAATCACAGAGCCCAGACCATCCCATTCCCCTACTTTTAAGCATTCGTTTGGAAATCACACCAACTCACCCAGTCCAAGAGGCTTAGAGAACAGCTAGGGGCCAAACCCTTCTAACAGGGAGCCCAGCTGCCCAGCTCCCCAGCTCCTCATTCAGACCAGACCAGCACTCCAAGTCCTTGGAAAAAGCCTCTTGTTCCTAGGCACTGGGGATGCCAGGAGCTGAATGTCCACCCCACTTCTCTTCTGAGACAAGGACTTGTTTAGAGCCTACCAAAGAAGCCAAGAGAACTCCCCTTCCCTCCCCACTGGGCTGTGGAGCGGGAAGAATACTCAGATGGCAACGGTCCAGTCTCATTTTGGAGATAGGACGCTGAGCTCTAGACACGAAGTATTTTTGCTAGTAACGCAGTAGGTCCCAAGGTTATCCAATGTCACCATCATCTAGAATGTACTCTGGAGGACAATCTAAACAGACACCTTGCATTCCCAGTCAGACCTGGTTCCTGATCTTGGCAAAACACCACATTCCTTTGAGCATCAGTTTTCTGTGAAAAGGGAGATAGAAATACCTACCCTGCGGTACCAAACTAGAGACATACTAACTTCGGAGCACCTTTAGAACCAAGTTCGGTCTGTGAGTGAATTCATGCAATCACTGCCCATGGGAAAGGCAGGTGTTTCACCAAAAGGAATAGTCTGGCCCACATGTGGCTGGGTGGGGCTCTCTTCCCAGAATTTGGTGGTGTGTTTTCATTTCCTGGAGGGAATGCCTTAGATGTCTTGAGGTCTCCAATAGCTCCTTTTGAATAGTTAGTGCATAAATATTAATCAAGTATCAGAAGCCTGAAGAGGTGGCTCATAAAAGGACCTGGGTTCAATTCCCAACACCCACTTAGTAGCTCACAACTGTCTGTAGCTTCAGTGCCAGAGAAACTGACACCCTCTCCTGGCCTCCTTGGGCACTAACATGCTACACAGACACACATTCAGGCAGAACATCCATAGTAAAGCCAACAATCAAGTATGTCTGGGGACAACGCTTCTTGAAGCCTCCTACATCCATCTTGATTTTGCAGAAGGCCTCTCAAGCCAGAGAGGTCAAAGGGACCCCTTCCCAATAGCATGTAGCTCTCCAAACCATGGCCTAAATATTTTCCCGGATATGTGGTAACTCTATGGGCTCCCAAGAGGTCCCAAGAGTCCTCACCAGCCACTCATGGGTCCTAGAAACCTCCCCCAGGCTTCCGCACCCAGGCTCCACTTCTGTGCTATCAAAGAATTCTCAGGTAGAGTATAAATGTCTTTAGGTTGAAGTACACCTGGTGGATGGGAGATACTTCCTCAGATCTCCTGGGACTGGTGCCAAGTCAGTGGGCTGTGCCCCTGGGCAGCAACACCCTGGCCCACATTCCCTCAACCCCCCACCCCTTTCCCAAAACAAGGCTGCCTTTAATTGGCCAGGGTGGGAGTGGCAGGAAGACGGATCAGGGAATGCTCCCAGCTGGACAGGAAGAACAGGTTTAGGATGGCAATCCCGCCAAACAGAGGAGAGAGCAGCTAGGTGTTTAGCATGGGCTCCCTTCCCCAAATCTGTGCTTGGACTAAACCTAAAATTTGGAGAAAGGCCCTCTTAGCGTGAGGGTAACTACTCTGTCAGGAGTTGATGGCCTGCCTGTGTACTCCGTATTCAAAGATGCTATCATTTAATCTCTCAGTTATACTTCACCTGGAAGAGGACACAGTAACAGAACCACCATGTGCTACTTCGTATGCCTGTGTGCCTAAATTACTCAGTTATCAGAAAGTACTCAATAAATCAGAACAGCTGTTGGCCAAACCCTCTCCCCAGGCTTCAGTTTTTTTTGTTTTTTTTTTCTAATTCCAAAAGAGAAAGAGAGAGAGAGAGAGAAAAGGCAGATAGTATCATTCGTTTCTGTGAATATGATTCGGTCTGATTTTTCCGGCCACAGTCTAAGGGGGAATGCAGGTGCCCCACTTGGAGGCAACATGCCCATGACATTAGCCAGGAAGGAGAGGGGGCTGAGGTCAGGACAAGAGATTGAGACTGAGGCCTCCGGAAGCAGCTGCTTTAGGCTGGCTTCTCCCCCTTGCTAGATCGGGTGACCCAACACAGGCCGACCAACCGCCCCCAAACCACATCCTTCTGACTGATACAAGGGGCATTTCTATCTATCCTCCTAAAGCACCTGCAGGCTTAGCAGCCTGCGGGGAGATCCCAGGGCATGTGACTGACCACGTGGTGACCTCAGCCACCTCCTAGGTCCTTTTTCCTCACACAGCCCAGCCAGCATTCCTTCAGATGCCTCCCCAAGGGATTTGACTTCAGAATTCCCTTTGGCAGCTCATTTGGAATTACTGCAACAGGAAAGCACCCCGTGTGGGCTCCAGGCTCAGCGACATCTTCCCATGAAGATAGCTTCGCTTTACAGGAAAGTCATTCCCTCCTATTCTGGTTCCTTCCACTCACAATTCCTTGAAGCTTTCCAGCCCCAAATAGCAACAGATGTTTGGGACCCAACAGCAGCCACTGGGCCTAAAAGATAAAAGCAGGCCTTTCCAAGCCTGCCTGCCTAACCAACTTCAGTCTGACTCAGCCGGTTATTGGCTGTGTGATCTTCAGCAAGTTACTTAACCTCTCCTGCCGGACGACTAGTTTAAGAACGGTAAACAGTGAGGTGTTTTTTTTGTTTGTTTGTTTGTTTTTGTTTTGTTTTTTTTTTTAAGTAAACCTATTTGCTTCCAAAGCCATCAGAAATCTATTAGAACAGAAACCAGCATTCAATGGGTTCGGTATTTGACTGGAATTGTGCTGCGTGTTGCCCAGGCTCCCACTCATTTTTCACCTAGAGGCTCTTGAACAGAATCTACTGCCCCTAAATAAGTCCAGAGAAAAAAAGAGGCTTTCAAAACATCAATGATTAAACTCCAAAGTCTCATGCCTCCTAAGACTTGGGACTACTGGAACCAATGGTCCAAGCTCCTGGGACAGATCACCCTCTTCCCCGGCACTGCCATGCCCTGAAAACTCCCCCTCTGACTTCGCTTCCTAAACTTCTACTAAGACAGAGCTGTAGGTCGCCCCGGGCCTCGTGAACTGACAGAGGGACCCCGAAAAAGAAAGGTTTCTTTAGGTTCCCAGGGACCTTCTCTTCTCCAGCTCCTTCCACCTACTCAGGCGGGTGCCTCAATTTCCCCGTGCGCAGTTTCAACAGAAACCCTTCTCACAAAACACTTGTAACTCAACCACTAGCCTGGAGCTAAGCGTAAGCTTTCCCTTGAGTCTGCTCTGGAGAAATAAAGTACAAAACTTTCTAGGCCGCCCAAAGCAGAAAGGGTCACCTCCTGATCCGTTCTGCAGATGGGGAAGGTGACATCTGGAAGGAGATGGCCTTGCCCCTTCCCAGGCCAGTGGCAAGGTTGTGGCCATAACTAAGGCCAGGACACAGTTCTCCTCTATTCCCCGGCCCAAAAGTTCTTCCACTCCCGAACGCACGCTGCCCACCTCGTCCCCAGGCCATCTCAGACTCAAGATGCTTGCTCTGGACACCCAGAAAAGAAGGGCACTCCGTGCGCAGAGCCTGCGCCGGGATCACAGAGAAGGGGTGAGGGTGTGCGGAGAAGAGCTGACACCAACTTAGTCACGTCCCACCCCGGAGCCCCGCGGCAAGGCTGAGGCCAAGAGTGCAGAGTAACGGGCTAGGGGCGCACGACGCGTGGAGGAGTCTCCGACAGCCTCGCCGCGACCCGGGAGGAAAAGTTTCCCTACAGAGTTGTCCCCGCCTTGGAGTCCAGAGGTGGGGCGCAGCTCGCGGTGCACCCCTCTTCCCTCCGGACCCGGGAATTTCGGGGAACAAAGAAGGCACCCCCCCGCACTCCCACCCCCGCCTTAAGACATCCCTCTAACGCCTACCGACTCGGCGGGGGCTACGGGGAAGCCTCCGAGGAGCAGCAGCAGCAGCGGCGCGAGCAGAGGAGCAGGCGCCATGGTACCGACGGCGCAGACCAGTGGCCCGGAGCAGGCGCGCAGCGCTTCTTATAGGCGGCAGCCCCGCCCCGCCCCCAGTGCCCGCCCGCCCCGCCCGGAATTCCCCCGGGAAAGCTTGGGCCTGCAGGGCGCTGCGCCCGACGACTTGGAAACCCCTGGTGGGACACGCCCACCGCGCGCCCTCGGGCTCCGGCACGAACGCGATCTGTGGCTCCCGGAGCTGCAGCCTGCGATAGTTAGCAGATCCACCGAGAGGCAATCCAACCCCCACCCCACCCACCCCAAACCCTGAGGATCACCGCCTAACCCCACTTTATAGCTAGGGAAACTGAGGCCCAGAAACGGGAAGGGTCTTCTGTTTATACCAGTCTTCAAAACGGGTGCGCTCCCCTCTGAAATCAGGGACGGTGTCCCAAGTAGCTCTTGAATTCCGATAGTTTTGGTTAGCAACTCTGAACCTACGAAATGGTCCAGGCTTTTCCCGGCCTGCTGTCAGAATTATTCCAGCCCAGGGCGCCAGCGCAAAGGCAGCTGGAAAGACAAAGCCTCGAGCCTGCCTGGGCACTAAACAGTATAATTTATGAACCGAACTGTAGATTTTGTGTAATTCCCAGGTGCCAAGAAATAGGCTTATTCTTTTGACTCGTCATCCTCTCCCCGTTTTAAAAATGGAAAAACGCATCTTAAGCAATGGGCCAGACAAAAAAACAGGAAGACGGACCTCTGTTTTAAGGGATTTTTTTTTTTTTTCATCTCTCTGGAAACTGGTTTGCAAGTTTATCTCTTTTCTCAAGTCGGCTTCCACAGTGGATCCAAGACCGTTGCTTCTAACATCATCCTAAGGGAGTGAGTGATGGTAAGATTCTTTAGAACTCAAGCACAGATACTGTTGGAATTAATAGATCGAATGACATCCTCGCCCACGTGATGGGAAAGGGCTGTCATCCTGGCACTTCAGATACTTAGGCAAGAGGACAGTCGGAGTTTACAGTGTGAGACCCAGGCTTTTTTTAAAAAGGCAGGATGGGGCGGGGCGGGGGACAATGTAGAACCGTCGATCAAAGTATCAGTCTTTGACATACAGATACATTGTGCTAAGGGTATAACCTGATTTTGGAATTACCGCATTTTGGCCTGTCTTGGCATATTATGAATTCACATCCTTTTTGAGGTGAAAGTGCCCCTTGCACCTTCCCCTCTTTGAATTGTCTAAACTGACCCCTAACTCACGGTGTCCCAACTCAGCGCCCCGTCAGTCCCCCCTCCACACACACACTAAATGGGATTACAGGCAGGACATACTATGTCGTGTCCCTTGGCTTCCCTTATTCTATTCCTTAATTATTTTCCAAGAATGAAAGTCTCTTGTGGCAGAGAGCTTTGAGAGAAAAACAACTTTCAAATACTGACCATGGTTTGTTTTTTTTCCCCCCACAGACTTAATGGTGAACAATTGTTTTCAACTATTTTAATATACTTCCCTAAAAATTGGACACCAAGAAAATAAATGAATCACCCTAGCTAGAATAAGAAATTCTTTCTCGTGACCTGGGTGTGGTGGCACAAGCCTTTATTCCTAGTACTTGAGAGGCAGAGCAGGCAGATATCTGTGAGTTCAAGACCAGCCTGGTCTACCTAGTAAATTCTAGACCAGCCAGGGCTATGTAAAGAGACTGTCTCAAAAAAAAAGAAAGAAAAGGAAAGAGAGAAGGAACCCATTCTCAGTGAGTATGGTTACACAGGAGAGGCAGGCAGCTCTCTGAGCTTGAGGACACCTTGGTCTGTATTTCAGGTTCTAGGCCGACCAGAGCTACACAACCAGATCTTGTCTCTAAAATAAATAAATAAACAGAAAAAAAGAGAAAAGTCATTCTCCACTCAAGCAGACTACACCCTTTGTTTTCCACTTCTTCCCCTGCTGGGTGAACTGAAGGAGTGCCTGATCTAGCCGTCAGGTAAGAACTCACTAGAAGGAAGGTTTGGTGGGAGCTCACCACCACGAGCTCTCGGCTACCCGTCATCCTATTACTGTAACAGCTTTTGAGAGGGAACTTTTCCACACTCACTGCTCACCCAGCAGGAGAAGTGGAAGTTCTAATTGGTGCCTTCTGTGGTGTGATTGCTGCCACCATGGTTGTTTTCAACCCGCCAATGAAATCTTACTGAACATGGAATTTGGAAGTGATCTGCAGTGCTTATATCACATAATAGGTCTTAACGTTTAAATTTTTTATTTTTTTTTATTTACTTGTTTGTTTGTTTTAAATTTCAAGACAGGATCTGGCTAAATTGGCCCAGGCTAGCCTATTAATCATTACACTCGTACCTCAGCTTCCCAAGTAGCCGGTATTACAGTCCTAGGCCACACTAGGTTGGTATAAACAATCTTAAGAACATAAAAAATAAAAGTATAGTGAGAAGATTCAGAAGTGATAGGTTTTCCGTGGGTTTCATTGTGTTTGTTTATTTATTTTGTGACGGTAACATTACGTTGATGGCTACATTTAGTTTGTGAATTGTGAAGGTAACATTATGTTTGATGTTTCAAAGATTGTGCCGTAGCCTGGCTGGGCAGTGGTGCACACCTGTAATCCCAGCACTCTGGGAGGCGGAGGCAGGAGGATCTCTCCCAGCAGAAGGCCAGCCTGGTCTACAAAGTGAGTCCAGGACAGCCAACACTATACAGAGATACCCTGTCTCCACCCCCAATCCCCAAATAAATAAAAAATAAAAATTTACTGTGCTTAAGAGAACTATAAAGCAAAACTGGACCTCCAAATGCTAAGGGTTGTTTTGTTGCCTGTGGCCTGTTTATGCACCATCATGAGTCACGAGGTCAACCCCCTGCTTCTGCTTCCGTAAACAGTAACTTGTTTTTGCTGGAGATAACCTGCGCACCCGCAGGACATACGTTTTAAAAGACAGAATGTAACTTCATGTTCTTTGCCTTTATAAACCCCTGACTAGTGTGACCAGGCGCTACACTTGAGAAACACGGGGTCTCTGTGTAGACTAGACATGGCGCCAGTGCCTGAATAAAAGCCTCTTCTTCGTTAAACTGTATTCCATGTCAGAGTGGTGAATCTCTGAAGATCCTACGCCCATAACTAGTAATTTGGTACTGGTGAACTGAAGGCACACAAACTAAGTGAGTGTCTATTCCCGATCCCTGGCCGTCCTGGAACTCACAGATCTGCCTGCCTCTGCCTGCCAAGTGCAGGAATCAAAGGTGTGCACCACGGCCACCACTGCCCAGCAGAGACTTTAATTTCGAATTTATGTAACTTAACTTACAGTATTAGTTAGGTTTAACAAGTAGCTCACAAAGTTCCCCGGGTCTGATTTTTCTGAGCATTTTCTGATGCTGATATCTGAGAAACACCAAAATGAGAAACAGGTGAAGCTGTAGCTAAACTCTACCCCATTCTAGTGTAAGCAATATCTATCCAGGCTTAAATGAGCAAGCTAGGAGAGAAGGAAATGCCCCATTCAGCAGTAAGACAGACATTCCCAGCAAAATTTCACTTTTTCTGCTTAACAAGTATTTCTTGGGGGCTGGAGAGATGACTCAGTGGTTAAGGGCACTGATTGCTCTTCTAGAGGAGCCCAGTTCAAACCTTAGCACCCACATGGCAGCTCCCAACTGTGTGTAACTCCAAGATCTGACACTCTTGAACAGATATACGTGCAGGCCAAATACCAATGCTCATAAAATAAAGGTAATTAAAAATATATATATAAGTATTGTTCAAACTCGTTAGAACTGGTTTTAGGACTATACGGTTACTTACTTTAGCATCAGTTTTGCTATGCTGGGGATCAAACCCAGGGCTTCATGCATGTCGGGCAAGTGCTCTACCACTGAGCTACAGCCTCAGTCCTTGACTGTATATGTCAAAGTGCACATTTTAAACCTTGTGTGCTTCATATCATGTTGGTTCTCTCTTAAGAGAGCTGCTTAAGTTTATTATGAGACCTTTTAAAAAAGTGTAATGTGGTAACAGTGTTTTGATCAATTGCATTCTAACAAGAGTTGTAAGGACAGGAAATTTAATACTGAGGCATATGCTCTTGAAAAAAAAAATAGTATGTATGGCAGGAAGTACCTGTAGCCCAGCACTGAGGCAGAGGGACCTCGAGTTTGAGACTAGCCTGGTCTACACACTGAAACTGTTTCAGGCAACAAATAGAGGGGCTGGAGAGATCGAGTATTCACGTGGGGAGCACATACACACTTGAGAGCACACGCATAAACATACGGACAGTCATCAGTAAGTTTCTTACGTAAAAAGTACAATATGAAAGCTGGACGGTGGTGGCACAGGCCTTTAATCCCGGCACTCAAGAGGCAGAGGCAGGTGGATCTCTGAGTTTGAGGCCAGCCTGGTCTACGGAGTGAGTTCCAGGACAGCCACGACTACACAGAGAAAGCATGCCTGAAGAATACAAAACAAGCAAAAAATACAGTATGAGAAAATTTTATAGCAAAATGTAGTGTGTAAATTCAAGTATAAATAGAAAATGCAGTGTGCAAATAATGCATATTTTGTCTGTTCATGTATATCCTTAAATATTTTTTATTTTTATTTTATGTGTGCAAGGGTTTTGCCTGCATATAGGTACACCACAGGCACCTACCTGGTGCCTGGGGAAGCAGAAAAGGGCATCAGATCCCCTTGAACGAGAGTCACCACTGAGCCATATTGACAGCCCCTGTTCCTTCCTTCCTTCCTCCCTCCTTCCCTTCCCTCCTTTCTTTCTTTTTTTTTTTTTCAAAGCTAGATTATTGAAAATAGTCAACTGCTAAGGCATTTGATTCAACTAGATACAGGTAAAAGAACAATGTAAACATTTTACTTTTAACTGAGTAGATTCATAATAAACTGGGAAGTACAATCTTTGCAACTATTTTAAACATCTATGAAAAATGCTAGATACTAACTTTAAAGTGTGGCTTTAAAATGACAGCAATGAGAAGAAAATACAGCCAGAAGAGGTTGAATTGGCCACTGTAGAGTTAGCAATAGTTATTTG